GGGGGGGGGGGGGGGGGGTTAAGGGTAGGAGTAATTTCTGTTTGTTTTGCCATTCTGCACTTTTGGATTGTTTTCATGGGGAAAATGGGATTGTTTCACTACAAGAAATTTTGCTTTTAACAACAAAAGTTCTTATGTAAAAAGTCATTTTTGGGATCTTTCAATGAAGAAAGATAATCGAGAAAATTTTCAAGGCAAAAGTTTTCGTGTTTAAGAGTGAAATTGTGTTGTCCTGTTCATACCCCATTCTTTTGATATGGTGATTAGTTTTAACGAATCAAATTTATTAATAATATTTCACCGGTTATTAATTTTGAATCATAAAATAGGCTTTTTGTTTCTTGTTTCTAGCGGAAAAACAGAAATATGCAATTTTGTGTTTGTGCATTTCTATTACGGTGTCTATTTGTCATTGATAAATTCTTGATATTTAAAGTGTAGATATATGTATTTATTCTGATATAACCAACAGAAAATTCTCTATGCTGTTTTACACTTTTACTATTTCAGATGAGATGAAACATATGGATTTTGTGTTGTTTGAGTGTGAGAAACAGTATATTTGTGCTGTTTTGTCCTTTTGCATTTTGGGGTTGTATATAAATTACTGTCTTTTGCTCTTATACTTCGTCTTGTGATTCCAAAATAAATTTAGCTGGGTTATTATTGTTGTATAAACCTCAATATATGGTATTTAGGCCAATTATAAAATAGAGACCAAACATACTTGTCGTATTTCGACACTCTGCTTAGGTCCAATGTAAGATTCGTGTTAAGAGTATGTTATGCTCTTTAGTTTTTAGTTTCTAGTTACCGAAACATTCGTTAGCCAACCACCAAATTCTATTTTCTTCTTTTTCTTGATTATCATTTTCCTAAATCCCAATTTGAGGCATCAAAAGGACAATAATGTATATGAATGTGCCAATTGATAAGCTTTGTTATGCAATTGTTTCAGAGTTTCAGGAAGATTCATTCAGACCGATGGGAATTTGCAAACGAAGGTTTTCAGCAAGGGAAGAAACATTTGTTGAAGCATATCACAAGGAGAAAGAAAAGTCCTCAAATCATACCGCAGCAGAGGGCAGCACAATCTTGGTTAAGTGTCCCCAAGAACGGTGCGGAGGCTGAGGTTGAAAAACTAAGGACAGACCAGAATGTACTGAAAGCAGAAATCTCGAAACTAAGGCAGCAGCAAGGGGATATGGAGCATTATTTAGCGACTGTTAAGGATCGTTTGCAGGAGAGTGAAATGAAGCAAAAACACACTGTTGTTTTCACGATGAAAGTGCTAAAAAATCCTGTGTTTTTGCAGAAATTCATTGAGAAAATGAGAAAGAAAAGGGCATTAACCGGTGGTGAAATCTTGAAGAAACGACGATTGGATGCTCCCAATTTAAGTAATGGTGGTTTACTGGAAGCTATGAGAACCATTGATATTGATGAGGTTGCTGATACAAATGCTGATGAAAGGAGGCTTCAAGTTCAAGAAGAGCTTACTACAGTTCAATCAGAAATTCTAAAGTTTTTCTCTTCTGATGAATCAAATAGTTCTTTGTCATCTGAGAATTTTGTCTTGTGGGAGAAACTCATGGAAGATGATATGATTTACGATGCAGAGCAAGCAGAAGAAGAAGCCGAAAGGCAACAACTGGATATGGTAATGGAACTGGAGGATTTACTTGCAAAGCCACTGGAATGGGATATGCATAAGAAAGGCCTGGTCATACCGGTATCTACTGAATAATTACCGAGGTACGATATGATCCTATAATTGCTATTATATTATTTCCACACATATTTATGGAATAAATTTCATGCAGGAAGGCAAATGGAAACTGCTGGTGGTCTGCTCTCTTCAGTATGTAGTTGTATATTCTACCTATTTTGTTTTCTTGTAATTTGCTCAATGTTTATTTTTCATATCTTCTTGTTTTAAATAGTTTCAATATTAGAATGTAAAACTTTAACAGTTGTGAAGCTAGAATGATAGACCCTCTCTTAATTGCCCTTTATGGTCATGGAATCGTGATGCTTATTCACTCGATTTGGCTTCTGTGTTGCATTAGTATATAAAATGTTGGGATATAGATGCATTGCTCGAGTTTATGAACTATCTTGACTGGGAGCTTACTGTTTCTAGTTATACTCCTTTTTTGGCCATTTTGCAGAGGACAGTCAGAGTTGTGTTCAATCAAACTAATTGGTGTCGAGTAAGTTGTCAATTTGTGTATGAACATGAGCATTCGAATGTTCAATGACAATTTTGATTGACATACAATACTCGTTGAATGCTTGTAATTTAAATACATCAGCATTATTAAGACGAATTATCATGATTAAGTAGGGAATTAAGCTCGCAAGTGGTTTAGTAAAAGCTACATTCTTAGTGAAAAATAGTAAGATATTAGACTGTCCTGTAGAAGAATAAATTAAAATCATAAAATATAGTCAACATGGTGGGTGTATCTGTTTATATATATCTCCATAAATTCTTTTCAATAAAGTTGAAGATTCATTCATTGTTTGTCCTCATTTTGGATTATTTATAAATTTTCGAATAGTGATTGATAGGAGAATATGCGGTTGAAAAATTTATAAAAAAGTTTTAGATTTGTGTGTAATATTATTTTATTTGAAAAATGTGATTAAAATTAAGAAAGAAAAATTTTAAAAATTTTAATGGGGACCAAACTAGGGGTCTATATTAATCTTTGTAGCGGAAGGTTTGATGGTTAATTTGCTTTGTGAACAAGTAGCCTATGGATAATCATCAGGTAAAAAAAAAAAAATTTGGTTCAGGAGATGTCCATCTAAGTTGTTAATTATTCGTCGTATCATTATTCCTCGTGGGTAACCCAAACTCACGCCTAAGTATAAAACTTTTTGGCCAACGAATGTCGAGGTCTGATAAATTTTTATTCAATCATTTTCATTAA